TATTTACTCTAATAATATGTATCATATATTAATATGTATCAATAATTCGTATAAAAGATTTGATATCAACAACTAGTACCAAGTTAAATTCCACAAAATTTTATGTATTATTTGTAAAAAAAATGTGATATCAACAAACTTCTAGAGAAAAAAAACAGAAGCATTGAATTTAAGAAAACGGTAACTCTAATGCAAGAAAGTTGGAAGTAAAAAAGATGTCAGTAATAAACTAAAAGTCAAATATCGTCAGCATGACAAAGTAATTGCAATTGAAAAAGAAAAATATAAATTATTATGTAGGCTTTTAAATAATAAAGAGAATATAGAACAATTTGTTGTCAGGTCTGTAAGTGATTCGGATGCTTACGACGTAGATTATACGAAAACGAACAAAAATATTGATCTGAAAATATTTATCAATTACATATTTTTATTTCACATAAATTTTGTTTCTATTTTAGGAAAATAGAATCCTTTGTAATGGATAATCGTTAATGTAAAGCACGTATTTAAGAAATTTTTATAGAGTAAACACATGTTCAATCTAACGTGATAAAATGACTGCAACCAAAAGTAATACAAAGTTTGAAACTATTACTAATATACAGACGTTACTAGCATTTAATAGTTAGATTATAAACATTAAATAAGTTAAGATTATGTACTATAAGTAAGTTGTGATTAATCCTAGCATGGTAGTGTTATTTTTAGTTACCTTTTTGTTAATAACTAGGATTTATGAAACTCTTTGTCACGCTGTATCTCTAGACTGAATTCTTAAGTATTTTTTAGCTCAAAACATGTGAAATTTATACTTCAAAGTCAGATAAAGACAGATAAATATTGAATCAAATAAATAATATTTTATTTTCAATTAATTACAATGCTTCCAAGAAATTTTATTGGAAACATTCGCAAAAAATGACTACTTTGGATGAAAAGTTCTCAAATTTTTAAATTTAATATTCAAGCAAAAACTCATAGGATTTTTTTAGTTGACTCTTTGAACTAATAAAAAAAAATAGTACGATATGAATCGCTCAAAAAAGTATAATTATTTGAACTATCGAAAATCGACATTTTTGAAGAATTTACATATTTTAAGTTTATTAATAAATAAATAAAATTTTATTATTTGAACAATATAAAAGAGTAATAATATAAGTAAATAAAAAATTATACATGTATAAATATTATTATAGTATATATAATTAAGTTTATTAGGATTTAGTTTAGAGAATGATGCAACACTCGCGTTCTAAAGTAATAAATCCGTCCTGATCGAGCGATTTCCAAAGACTGACAGAAATGATCAAATTTCTACTATTCCTTCTTTATTTATTAAAATATAATTCTTTTTAGTTCTACATTTTCGTGTACTTACTTTTATACTATCCGAAACTCAGTAAATAACTCAGTAAAAAACTCAATAAATGTATATTTAATAAAAAATAAAGGGGTATTCAGAAACTTACTAATCACATACCCTCTTTGAACTTTTGTGCATTCTCACATCGAGAATAACAAAAAATACCTTTTTCAAACTTATCATATCTATGGATAGTTAAAGTGTTTTTTTTTAACCTCAATTCTTCAAATTATATTATAAAAAAGTTACAGCAATGTAAAAAATCGTATAAGATACGTTGAACCCATGAATACCGTACTAGGGTTAAATTTGTTGTGTATTGAGATAGAATGTATAATAAAAAGTTGGTCATTATTCAATAACTCATTTAATAAAACACGAAAATATGTATAATCTTTTTTTATAATATGATTATAAATATGTACTAATAAATTTCAATCGTTGTAATCAATGTAATTCAATGTCTTTTCTTTACGGAGATCGTAAATGTTATACGCACATATGTTATTACTTTATACTTCAATAAATAATTTTTTAACTACTCGTCATTGATATTTTCACGATCAATGATATTTTCATCTATAATTACATGATCATCATTTTCTTCACTTACTTGAAAATCATCATTTTCATTTGTACAAAGATTGTGCAAAATACATGCTGATATTACTATATTGGTAACTCTATTTTTTTTGTTACTCCAAAAAGAATTTTGTCCGACAAAATCATCCTTTTAATATATTCTTTCGACTATTATCCGAGACAAATGCAAAAAATTAAACTCTGTTTGCTGAGGTGTGTGGCCATTATTTATTATCCCGAAATGATGGGATATGCCATGATAACGCGGATTCATCAAATGTATCATTAGGAAATAGTATTTCTTTATCCTTATACTCTATTTTATATAAAAGTTTCTCAATACATGAGCATTATGCAAGGATCCAGGTTCATCGAAATATGTTCATAAATCGCATATTAGAGTCGACAACAGCTTGTAAATAATGGAAAAAAATTTTTTGCGAGTACAATATTTTATTTATGCCAAAGATTTCTGTATATACAGATGTGGATATAATTAATCGCTTCTAACACATATGAAATCCTTTTTTTTTTAAAAAAAAAAACCTTGCGTACACTACCAAAATGTTACGCTGTTGCGGCCATCTAATCACATCATCTGATTTAGTCAAAATTTAAGCGATTAAGCATGATTTACATGGGGCGACTTTTATTCGCTAGAAGCCGCGTCTAGTGACGTCATTAATTCGCCAGTGAATTCTCTCGACTCTGCTACTACTTGCTTGAAGCAAGCTTCTTCGTCCGCGAAAAAATTCACTGATGAAAGCTTCTTGTACACTTGTTTTTTATCCGCTAGCGATTAAAATTTTGAAATCAGCATTAAGTGATCAAGTGATTGCTAGTGATCAAGAGAATAGTAGCAGAATTGGTCACAAGCACAACAGCGGCTCGAAGTATGTCATTCGATGACATAATTATTCTCTGATGCTTATCTCAGTGGCCGAGACATTCCAGAAAAATTCGTCTTTTCACACTGATAACTTAAAATTTCGCTCTGGAGGAGCAGCAAGAAACTAGCGACAAGCCAGCAATAAACTAGCGACGAAGCTATATTCGCCGCGACTATACGCTATAAAAACAAATCCACGTCTAGAAAAAGTTTTTAGCGAATTCGCTATGACGTCATTAGACGCGGCTTCTAGCGAATAAAAGTCTCCTTGTAAATCACACTTTACACGACGATACGGAATATACAGGAGATAGAAATATTAAAGCGATCGAAGTCGATTTAAAAGAGATGTCTACAAGACTTTTTTTCAAAAAACATCTTTAGGACGATTTTTAGTCAAGTTTTAAAGACAATCTTTTTTAAAATGTCATTCAGATATCCGTTTAAGTCATCTTTCAGATCATCTTTTTAAAACATATTGAGAACAAAGATAAGATATTTTTATAAAATAATTCATAAAGTCGAACTGGCGATATGACATTTATAATATATTGCACGTAAAATACATGGAGCTTTCCGTATTGTTGATATCGTGCTTTAATTGCTTATTTGATTCTTTTGATTACTTTCTGCTTCCGGCAATTTCTTCCGGCGGAACACTGAACCATCTAAATCGTATATGTGTTATATTACAATATCTTATAAATCTTAAATGAACAATGGCGTTCTGATATACGTTCTGATATACGTTCAGCACTGAAAATCTATAATATTCGTAATGTGAACTATAAATTTTCGAAAATCTATAATTTACGTTATGTATATTTAAAGATTTTTAATACTGTCAGTATATATCGGAACTCAATATAACCTATAGAAATCGTAATGTCCAAAATTAGTCTGAAAGAATAGCATTATAGAATGTATGCACGTACGTGTGTGTGTGTGTGTGTGTGTGTGTGTGTGTGTGTGTGTGTGTGTGTGTGTGTGTG